AATCGGGGGATGGGGAGGGGAGGGAGGCACGTTCGCAATTTTTCCCTATCACAGTTCGATTTTCATTCGAATTTTCCAAAATCCCTTAAAATTATTACCAAACCTCAAACCTTACCAAAAAAAAAATTCAATAAATCTAAACGTTTTCAATTTCGAATTTTAAAAAATTTTTAATTATTCAAATGAGAAACACGACAACGACAACGACAACAACAACAACCATCGCAAAAAAAAAAAAACAACGACGTAATAATAATAATAATAATAATAATCGATTACTATATCGTGTTGTGTACGTTACATTGAGTAAAAAAAAAAAAAAAAAAAAAAAAATTGTACAAGACCTAATATTATGACCTTTGTGAAACATTTTCATAACCTTTTATTTGTTTAATCTTGCTCTCCGAGTCTCGCCAAATTTTTTTATTTTATTTTACTCTCTCACAAAAATTATCTTTTTTTTCTTTTTCATCCACGTTGACCTCGATTACATAATGGAAATTTAATTATGATGGCACAGGTAAATTTACTAAGCCCCAATAATAATAATAATAATAATAATAATAATAATAATAATAATAATAATAATACTCGAACGAATTGTTTTTTTTAAAAACAATTACTTAAACCACCGTAACTTTTTTTTTTTTATACCGTACGAAAACAAAAGAAAAGAAAAGAAAATGTGGAAAAAACGAGGAAAAGTTAATCCTGTTTGATTTATTAAAGGCAACTCCATTACTCAAAGACTTTTCTATTCAATATGAAAGAGTAAGATGATGATGATGATAAATTCAAATTTTTTTATTAAGGCTAAAAAAAAAAAAAAATTCAACTCATCGTTGTTGTTGTTGTCGTTCGTCTCAGACCGACAAACAACAACCATCGTTTTTCAATAATTAACACCAATTGAAAATAACTAATAAAAAAAAAAAAATCTCAATTAGGACGTCTGTGAAAAACGTGAAAATTCACAAACGAGAAAATTTTAAGGAAAATTCAAATTTTCGAAGACATTTTCTAAGCCCTGAATATAAAAAAATTTACTCAAGTTTCAAATGTGCAAATAATAAATAATCAATTACGAATATCTAACATGATGGAAAATTGTAAATAATAATAATAATAATAATAATAAAACCTCCCTCCTATTCTGACGACCCTTAACCCCGTGTATTTACAAAAAAAAAAAAAAATGATTACACCGAATATATATGCATATGCTTAAACTTTTCGATGTTAATAAAAATCTGAATTTATTCTTTCGTAATTGTCGTTTTAAAAAAAAATACTTTTGATCGATATCAAATCAAT